CTTCAACTACTTTGGTTTCTGTTTGACTGATGTCACCATCATGGTGAGGCAGGGCCACTCTCATGCACTTGTACATGTACATGCAAATTCACGTACATGCAAACACACATGCACACAGGAAAACACACCCAGCACACACAAATGTGCATGAGTGTAAATGCACAAAAATACATACATATTGTGAATACACATAAAAGGACACACCTGTACACAGACAGACGTGCACAGAACCACATTCAAACACGTAGGCACACCTGAACACACATAAAAACACAGAAATTCCCACAAACACATACACATACATACACAGATAAAACTTTGGCACCCGTGGTTTATCCCAGCACCCTGAACAATGATTTGGGCTTTTTGTCGTCTACTTTCTCTCTGTTCTGGGGAAAATTGTAGAAATTCTAATACAGGAGGCTGTGAAAAGAAAATATTGGCTTCTACAGTACAAACATCTCTGGGTGGAAAGAAAATGTTAATTTCCCCGTAAGTCAAATGTTGACATGCATCAGCTGCTACTGAAGATGTATCACTGTGGGAGAAGTTCTCTGCTCCCCAGAATGGAGAGCAGTCGGGACTCTCTCCTCTAAAATCCTCTCTGGCTTAGAATTCAAACAGGTTTGAGTTTGAGGTTTTAGGTATTGCCCCAGTTTGTTTTCAAAGAGCTGATCTCAGGGACTCCCTCCTGAGCAGGGGAAAACGGGGGCAGACTTCCACTTTGTGATATGCACTGCTTTCTACAGAAACCTGGGCACCTCCACCGTCATCTGTAACTATTTGGGCTCTGCTTACGTCTGCCAGGGGACACCATTTTAGCAGGACATGTGGGGCCAGGGTGTCGAGGGGCACAGAGAAAGGACAAGGGATCAAGGGGAAATTTCCAGAGCTAGATGCTTTACGTATCCCTTTGCCCACTAGTCCCAAAATACAGTGTCAATATTCTTCTTTGTTCAACACCTATATTTTAAAAATTCCCAATTAAGATTTTCTTACTCTCTCCCCACAACTAGTTTCTCTCTCTCTCTCTCTCTCTCTCTCTCGCACACACACACACACACACACACACACACACACCCTTTTAACTTGTTAAGTTTGAAAGATGATGATATCTACAACCAGCGAGCTTTGCCAGTCTGCACGGTTAAGGCCAAGATTAATGCAGAAGGTTGGAGCAGCGTTGCCGCAGAGCTGCGTGCTCAGAATACAAGATGGAGCGCAGGGGGAAAGGCCAGGAAATATGTCTGTGCTTGGAGTTTACACAAGTCTCCTTAGCAACTTGTCTGAATTTATTTTTCCCTTAATGTGTGTGGGTTTCTTCCAAGTCCTGAGTGAAATGGGAGTCGAGTCTCTAACAGCCCATCTCCCCTCCACTGGGGTGCAATTGTCGCGTTTGGTGAGGGAGGCTTTCACTTCCTTACCAGCCGGCCCCCTCCACTGAGGTGGCTCAGATCCTGTGCATTGTGACTTTGTGGACTCTTGGTAGCCTTCCAGAAACCCACATCTCCATGGGGGAATGCTAGAGCCTGTTTTTGATGGCCACAGCTGTGCAGATTTCTGCCGCAGCCTCGCTGCTCCTAGTACCCGCTCCCGTGTGTGGCATATGTGCGAGTGTGCCTGTGTGTACGCCTGTGTGTTATGAAAGAGGGCAGGAACAACGGAGCTCCCTCCTTTTTCTGTCTTGCTTTAGTTCCTTTCTCTCATCATCCTTCCCTCCTCCCGACACTAAAGGCCCTGTAATTCTAATTAGAAGATGAATATAAAGCTATTAGACAAAAACAGACTTTTAACGATTTATGTCACTGGACTTGCTTCAGGGGGAACCACCCTAAGTACTGCAGTGCTTTTCTCTAAAATTGCTTTACCTTCAAACAGCCCTAGGGGAGCGTCGATGCTGCCTCATTGGAGCCAACACGGAATATAAATCTTAATATTTCTCTCTTTTGCCCCCTCCCATTTTAGAGTCAGGGGAAAAAAGAAAAGAAGAAACCTAGCCAAAAAATGTTAAGGTTTGATTTTGGCTCTTTCACAAACAGATGTTGCTTGTCATCCTTTGCGGTTGTTAAGCAGGCACCAGATTGGACCAAACAGCAGTGGTGTGTGTGTGTGTGTGTGTGTGTGTGTGTGTGTGTGTGTG